GACTGTACAGAAGCTTCATGCTTATCCATATGGGCAGTTAGGCAGTACAGTGGCTAGGGGCAGGAAGGTCCGAGTTAGAATCCTGCCTCAAGCATTTACTGGTTGTTTGACCTTGGACAAGTCATTTAACCTGTCTGTCTCAGTTTCCTCAACTGTAAAATGGAGATAATAATAGGAGCATTCTCCCAGGGTTTCTGTAAGGATTGAATGAGATTGTATTTGTAAAGTGCTCAGCACAGTGCCTGGCATACAGCAGGCACTTAATAAATGCTTGTCTCCTTCTATCCTATATATCATGAATACTTTCTTTAAGAAGAGAGTTAAGAGATAAAGGACATAACGATCACCAAATAATAAAGAGAAAAGTGAAATTGATTATGTTAAAAGATAAGCAAGGACCAATTATGGATATGAGAATCATTTCTAGCGAAACTATCTATATTCTAACACTTACTCATTAAAGCAAAAGTAGAAATCAATATCCAATTAGACAAAGAATAAAAATGAGGTGAAGTTATGGCATGCAATTAAGGCAATCTAACCTACTTCATCAAGTTATTGATGTGGAAAAATGAAAAATGGATATAAGAGCAGCTATCACTAAAGACTACCATTTCCCAAGGAAACTTTACTTATGTAAATCAATTGCCACAGCAAAGAGATTTTAAAAAAAAACACCCTAAAAAATGCCTCAATCTCATTGTCAAGTGGTGGGACAGTAACAAAAGGCAACACCAGTGGAGACCAAACTTATTTCTAAGTTCTAACAGAAGAGGTTGGTGGAAGATTATGAGTAGTATCATTCCACAGAATACTGATTAAGTAGGACTGGAGGGGAGAATAAGTTTGGAGAAAGGGTAAAGAGACCTAACCAAGCAAAATCATCCCTCAGGCATTTCAAGATGAAACTGGAAAGAAGATAACAGATGAAAAATGACAAGCTCTATAAAGATTTTTGTACCAATCTTTTTTCTCCATCATACCTCATTTGGATTCGAACATGACAATCCCTGATGTACTAATATGAGGAAACAGAAATGGTACCAAAAAAACACAAGATGGGAAGAACAGTTGGATGGCTTGATTCACAAGATACCCTAAAGAGGAAAGGATGCTGAACTCCCAATGGGAAGACTCTTGGGGAAAAGTCTTAGGTCTTACTATTGCCAACCAAAGTGAGGAGAGAACATGAATAACTACTGACCCATAAACCTACCTTCCCCCATCTACAAAATCTTTGGCAGAAAAATTTACACGTGCATTACGGGCATCACGGACAAAGGGAGATCGGAAAAGTGTGTTGCCAATGACGTTCTATGGCGGACCCCATCTTTATTGTTGCATTGCTGACTGAAAAGTGAAGAAAGTAGAAGATCCCACTGTGCATACTGTCTTTTCTTAATCCTCATCCTTCTTGACTTCTTTTTTCTTGCTTTAGTATTTTATCTTTCCCCAGTTACAAGTAAAAACAATTTTAACATTTGTTTTTAAAACTTTGAGTTCCAAATTCTCTCCCTTGCTCCCTTCCCAGCCCCCCATTGAGAAGGCAAGCAATTTGATATAGGTTATACATGTGTAAGTCATGCAAAAAATATGCATATTAGTCATGCTGTGAAAGAAAACATAGACAAAAAAACTCAAGGAAAATAAAGAAAGTTAAAAAAAAAAAGTAAGCTTCAATCTGTATCCAGACACCATCAGTTCTTTCTCTGGGAATGGATAGCATTTTTCATCATAAGGCCTTCAGAGCTGTCTTGGATCATTGTATTGCTTAGAATAGTGAAGTCATTCATAGCTGATCATCCTACACTATTTTTTTGCAGCAATTTTTTTTTTTAGTGAGGCAATCAGGGTTAAGTGACTTGCCCAAGGTCACACAGCTAGTACGTGTCAAGTGTTTGGTCTGAGGCCAGATTTGAACTCAGGTCCTCCTGCCTTCAGGGCCGGTGCTCTATCCACCATCCTACACTATTGCTGTTACTTTGTACACAGGACATTTCACTTTGCATCAGCCCATGCAATCTTTCCAGGTTTTTCTGAGAGCATCCTGCTCATCATTTCTTACAGTACAACAGTATTCCACCCTAATCACATACCACAGCTTGTTCAGCCATTCCCCAATTGATGAGCATCCCTTCAATTTCTAATTCTTTGCCCCCAGAAAAAAGCTGCTATAAATATTTTTGTACATATAGGTCCTTTTCCTTTTTATCTCTTTTGGAATAAAGACCTAGTAGTGTCATTGCTAGGTCAAAGGGTATGCATGGTTTTATAGCCCTTTGGGCATAGTTCCAAATTGTTCCCCAGAATGGCTGAATCAGTTCACAACTCCACCAACAGTCAATTAATGCTTCTTGACCTCTCTTGAAATTGTTTATCACCCTCTCCTCGGGGATAATCTCTCCTCTCTAAGTTCTTATGATGTTATTTTCTTTTAGTCCTCCTTATAACTGTCTGACCACTCATTCTCACTTTCCTTCCCTGGTTCTTCCACTATGTTAATGCCCACTAAGTGTAGGTGCCCCACATAGCTATGTCCTGAGCCCTCTGCTCTTCTGCCTTACTTGGTGATCTCCTCAGCTCCCTTGGGTCCAGTTATGATCTCTCTGCTGAGGATTCTCAGATCTATATATCTATATATCTAGTACATATATAGATATAGATATCTATATATCTAGTACCTCTCCTGAGCCACAATAACACACCTCACTAATTGCCTTCTTATTGTACACTGGATGCCCTATAGGCATTTCAAACTCAACAAGTCCAAAATAGAACTCATTATCTTTCCCCACAAATGCTACCCTGTTCAAAATCATTATCAAGGGTACTACCATCCTTCCACTCACTCAAGTTCCTAAGCTCAGTGTCATCTGTGACTCACTTTCCCTCATCCAATAATTGAATCCATGGCCAAATGTTGCCATTTCTACCTTCACAACATCTCCTGAATCTGCTCTCTTCTCTCCATTAACACAGTCAAAACCCTAGTTCAGGCATTCAGCACTACTCGCCTGGAGAACTGGAGAACTCCCTGCCTGAAGTCTCTCTCCCTCTTTGAATCCACTCTCCATACAGCTGTGAAAGTGATTTTTTTCTGTCTTTTCTTTTTCTTTTTTTGGGGGGGTGGTGGGGCTAGGCAATGGGGTTAAGTGACTTGCCCAGGGTCACACAGCTAGTAAGTGTTATGTGTCTGAGGCCAGATTTGAACTCAGGTCCTCCTGAATCCAGGGTGGGTGCTCTATCCACTGTGCCACCTAGCTGCCCGAAAGTGATTTTTTTAAAGCATAGTTTTGACCACAGCACTGCCACTGGTAACTACCACTTCAGTGAACTCCAGTGACTACCTGTTGGCACCAGGATTAAATAGAAAATCCTCAGTTAGGCATTTCAAGCCTTTTAGAACCTGGCCCCTTCCTACCTTTCTAGCTTCCTCCATACACTCTCCAATCCAATGGCCAAACCATTGGCCTTTCTGCTCTTCACACACCATATTCCATCTCCCATATCTGTGGCTGCAGGCATGGGCTGTCCACCATCCCTGGAATTCTCTTCCACCTTACTTAGACCTGTCCATTTCCCTGGCTTCCTTCAAGATTCAAGAAGGCTCAAATCCTGCCTTCCGTAGGGGGCCTTTTCTGGTACCTCCAACTACTAATGCCTTCCTCTCTTGGATTTCCTTCATCTGCTCTGTATATATCTTGCACATACCTAATTATTTCCTAGTCTCCCACATTAGAATGGGAGCTCCCTGAGGGCAGAAATTGGTTTTGCCTTTCTTTATAACCTGAGCACTTATCACAGGTGCATAGTAAGTCAATTGAAGTCAACATGGATTTATGGATTTATCTCACCTGCTATGAGGGAGACACATGCAAATGATTATGTTTAAAATGAGATATTAAGAATGAATTGGAGAAAATGTCCAAGGGAAGCCACTAGCGTTAAAGGGATGGGGAAAAGCTTCTCACAGAAGAGAAACACTTAAGAAATTCTTTTTGACAGGCCATTGACCTTGGCAAAGGACCAGAATTGGACATATGATTACATTGGTATGGGGATGGCATGGGATAAGGAAGCTCCCTGAACCAATGCAGGTTGGTCCCCTGTAACTTCTAGTCTCAGGGTGCTGCCTAGGACATTCTGAGAGTTCAAATGACTGTCCAGTGTAGCACAGCCAGTATGTGGGAGAGGCACACTTTGAACCGAAGTCTTCCTGGGACCAGCCCTCTATCCTCTATATAATGATGCCTCTCGTAAAGGGACCGTGCCTCATAGAAAATAGAACTGAAAACAGAGTATGAGAGCTCAACAGAACCTTAGGACACATGTAACATCCCCTCTTTCCAACTCACAGTCATCCTCCTAAGTTGGGTCCCCTAGGGGTCGGTGATTGCTGTATTCATGCTGTATACAGAACGTCAGAACTGGTAGACGCATCTCCCCATATGGAGAAGCCATAGATCCATACAAGCACCAAATCCTACCCAGGGCCCTGTGCTCTGAATGGATACAAAAACTGCTATAAAACACCCCCTGCTCTCAAGAAGCTTACAGTTTATTGGGGGGACAGAACAGAGATGTGCTGGAGTCAACTCAAACCTGCTTGCGAGAGCCAACTATTAAATTTTCAGTGTGAGGATTTATACCCTGGAAATCTGCATATTCTACAAATCAGGGCTTCATTTATCATTTTCTCGATTGTCTAGATTTTAAAAAGTAATGGCGAAAATGTTAATAATGTAGGTTAAACCCAAAAGTATGTTGTGTGCCCTTTTTTTTTTGGAGAGCTGGTTGTTAAATATTTACCAGCATATCCCTGGATATGATGAACACACAAATAACTATGATACAAGTGCCAAAGAGAGGTCAGGGCAAAGGGCAAAGACAGGGTGCTGCTTATTTTAAGATGGCTGATGGGAGCTCTACCACATGTCAGTAGAGATTCATCTCAAGAGAAGTCACTAATGTTGATTGAAAAGGAATAGAAAGGGACAGACCTGTTTAGCGCCTGGTTTTTGTTCCATGGGAGTCATCGTCAATGTCTTGGTCTCCTTCTCATACTGACAGTAATATTTCACCCACGAGATTCCCAGAGCCCCTGGGACAAAAACAAAGGAAAAAATACCAATGAAACAATTCTCAATGTAACTTCTAGGCCCTCTCAGTGTCAGTTCTCACAGGATGCCTGAGCTACAGCTGGAAGGGAGCCAGAGACCCTCTGGTCCATTCCTCTCATTTTACAGAGGGGGAAACTGAGGCCCAGGGAGACCTAACGTCACATAGAGCAGAAAGGAACCTCAGAGACCACCCAGTCCAACCCTTCATTTTACAAAGGAGGAAACTAAGGTGCAGGGTGGGGAGGGGACTTGCGCAAGAATTCACTGGTAGTAGGGGCAGAGCCTGGATTTGAAAACAGGTCCTCCGATTCTAAATCAAGTACTCATCCTATTGTACCATGACACCTCCAGATCTGTTCAAGCTCATCACTCCTATTCTGGCTACCTCTTCTTATCTTCGCCACTTGGACCCCCTATTGATTCACCAGTTGGACAAGGCCCCAGCATCTACTCTTGAATCCCTTCGCCCTGCCCCAGTCCATGTCTAGCTTCAGTTCTGGGTCCTAGCCACCCTCTGCCTTCTCTCCTTCTAATTCCATGGTTAACTAGCCACCTTCTAATTCCATGGTTAACTATCCATCCTTCTTCACATTCTCAATATAAGAAGGTGCCCTCTCAACCTCCCTCACACCTCTGCTGCATCTCAACCCCCTCTCTCCAAGTACAGGGCCATCACCCAAGTTTAGGGCCACAGTACCTATTGTATCTGCCTCTGACTTGGCCCCCCTGCTTCCAGTTTCCTCCAGGCTATTTCAAAGGCTTTCACATAGCTAGCCTCATCTGACCCTCACAGCTCTGGGAGGGAGGCAAGCCAAGGCTTGCTATCCCCGTTTGGCAGTGGAAGAGACCAAGGCACGGAAAGCTTAGATGGCTTTTCCAGCATCACAAAGGGCATGAGTGGCAGAGTCAGAACCAGAAAGCATCATTCCATATGTCCTTTCTCTCCAATAATATGGGCCTGACAAAATCCAGCTCCCTTACATATTGGGTAATACATGTTTAGAAGCCAGGCACGTAACACCTTCTCTAGAAGTGGAAGATACATTATTCTCTCTATATCAGGAGTTTAAGAAAATATCACACCGGGTTGTATCAGAAGATCTGGGTTCACTTATAATGTGAGTCTGGGTCTCAGTTTTAGCTTCAAAACAAGTGCTTCAGATTGAATGACCTCCAATATCCATTCCAGCTCGAAACCCTAGCAAATCGTGGCCTTACCTCTCTGGTTATTCCAAACATCATCATTTCGACAGTGACTGAACTAAAAGGGTATGGGGCACACTTTTCCAGAGTGAAACACCACCCCCTCCCTCACATAAGTGATTCTAGAACATGAATTCATGCTATCTATTTAGGAGGCTGGAAAACTATGCATCATTTGCAATGTTCAGTCACTGAATTAATTATCCCCTGACACCAGTTAGCTACAACCAAACCATGATGTTTTGCCCAATGCATTTTAATTAATTACAATGTTGGTAAAGTACTTTAAGATCTCTTACGAGACCAGTCTTCTCTAACCAGACTGTTTCCTCATTTGCTCAATGAGGGTGGTTGGAACTAGGTGATCATTAAGGTCCCTTCCAGTATGAACACTCTTATGTTCTCTCTCTTCCTCTCCTTCCTTTTCTCCTTCTCCTCCTTCTACCCATCTCTTTCACCCTTTTCCTCTTCCCTCCTTTTCCTCTTCTCCTCTCTTGCCTTCTCTCTCCCTTTCATTTTCTCTCCCTTTCCCTCTCCTCCTCTCTCTCCCTCTCCCACTCCCTCTTTCTTTCCCTCCCTCTTCCTCACTCCACCTCTTCCACTGCAGCTCAAAACTCCTGAGCTCAAGTGATCCTCCAGCCTCAGCCTCTCTGCTAGCTGAGATTACAGGTGTGTACCAACACAACTCACTGAACACTGAATGTTTGAAGGCTGTTTCTAGTTCTGAGAACTATGTTTTAGACCCCTCCAGCTCTGACATTCTATGCTCTATGTTCTAAGGTCCCTTCCAGCTCACACATTGTATATCCCTTTTTTAACTCCAATTTTATTTCCAGTTCTGAATTCTCTCCCTCCCCTACCCATGAAGAAGGCATAAAATAAATAAAATAAAACTCATTACTAGTATGTATAGTCAAGCAAAACAAATTCCCTCATTAACCATGTCCCAGAACAAATATGCCTCAATCTGTCTTCTGAGTTCATAAGCTCTCTGTCTGGAGGCAGAGAGCATCAAATATTGCACAATCTGAGGCCCTTTCCAGCTCAACATTCTGTGCTCTACATTCAAAGGCCCCTCCTAGCTCAACCAGTCTGTCAGAGAGGGCAAAAGGAATAAACCTGAAAGCAGTCCTCCAGCTGCATGCCCCCATCGGTGTGCCCACATACATACATTTCTCTTGGGTGTAGAGATAGCCCTCGATGGTTGGCTGCCCTGGGAGCTTGCACATCTGGGGGGCCTCCTTCATCCTCTTCTTCAGTTCTTCCATCTCCTCTCGGGTACTAGAAAAGTGATTTCTTGTCTGCCAAGACATGATCGCCAGGAATGAGTGCAAAGCAAGCATTATATACCAGGGCACAGCGAGAGTTGCATTAGATGGTAGCAAGTAGATTGACCAGGTGATTTGGAGTTACTACAGGGAGTGACTGCATTTTTTTAGGAGATTAGAGGCAGGGGAATATGCATCCAGAGGACCATAACCTATAATTAGGAGGTAAATGGGAGTGTGGAAAAAACACTGCACCATGACTCAGGAGACTTGCGTTCCCATATGATCCTAGACACCAAGATATAGAGCTAGAAGGAACCTCAGAAGACATACAGTCCACCCCTCTCATTTTACAGAAGAGGAAGTCAAGACCCAGGGAAAGGAAATGAACTTTTCCAAGGTCACACAGGCATTAAGTGGCAGAGGGAGGGATTTCATTAATTAAGGTCCTCTGATTCCAGAGCCAGCGCTATTTCCATTGTTCTAAACCCAACTCTGCCCCTACTCCCTTGGATGACCTTGGGCAACTCATATAAGCATTTTGGGCCTCCGGCTTCTCATCTGTAAGTAAGGTCCTTCCTTACCATTATTATTCTACATATGAAAAAACAGCATGCAGACACAGACCAGGCTGTTAGAACCCTGAAGGCACCCTTCTTGAAAGGTAGATAGATCATCAAAAACAATGGATTAAATACTTAGCCGATATATTGCCTGGCAAAGAACGTGGAACTATCAGGATTGTACAGAACACCTAGAAGACATGGTCTTGGCATCCCAGAATCAGTGCTCTAGAACAGGAAAGGCCTTCAGAGTCCCATCAAGTACAGCCCTTTCATTTTACAAAGGAGGAAACTGAGCCCCAGAGAGGGTAAGTGACTTCTCCAAGGTCACACACAGGCAAGAGTCAGGATCTGAATGCAGGTCTTCTAACTTGAGAGTCACTGCTCTTTCCACCATACTACCACATTGCCAACTATAAAGCCTATGCTTCTATGAGGAAGGTAGTATTATAATACCCATTTTACAGATGTGGAAACTGAAGCTCAGAGAGGTTAAGTGACTTGTCCACAGTCACATATAGGCAGTAAGTGGCAGAGTCAGGATTTGAACCCAGGCCCTCTGACTCTAGAGTCACTGCCCTTTTCACTGTACTACTACACTGCCAGCTCTAAATCCTATGCTTTTATAAGGAAGGTAGAAATAGTATGATTATACTCATTTTACAGATGTGGAAATGGAAGCTCAGAGAGGTTAAGTGACTTGCCCAAGGTCATATGTGATAGAATCAGAACCTGAACCCAGGTCTTTGACTCCAAGACCATTGATTTGCTCACCCCACCACATTACAGGGCATCCACACGTCAAGCCCAAAGTTCATGGCAGTTGACTCACCCAGAGGAAGTTCAGGATTTGTGACTACAGATCAATGGTCCCCAAGGCAAGGCCCATGTGATTCTGCTGTGGGTGGGCTGCTGGGTAACGGGGTTCAAGTGGCCCACACCAGAGTCCATCCAGCTGGGAGAGCAGGCCAGACAGGAACCAATGAGGCTGGCTTATCTCAACTATCCTATAACAGGGCCCCAGCAGGTTAGCTGGGCAATGCTCCCAAGAATGCAGCCACCCCTGCCGAGGCGGGAAGGGGGACAGACAAGGAAATAGAAACCCCCAGGGACAAACTCACATTTTGCAGACTGAGCTGGAGCTGCTGTTTGTAAGGGAGGAAATCCTGTGTTAGTTCTACTGTCAGATTGTTGGAAATGAAAAGACTGTGAAGAAAGGCCAAGACCTAGGGAGAATGGGCAAAAAAAGACTGTTTATGGCAGGTACCCCCCTCCCCACGTCTCGCCCCCCTCCCCACATCCCATTCCCCTCCCTTCACCAGATACAGGAAACAACTGCCATTGGACAATAAAGCTTTCAACTGGGCCCCTAGTGATCTATATAGCACATCCCTTTCCCAGCTCAGCATCACAACAGTCAGACTAACACAAACACCTCTACCCTTGGCCACACGGCGAGGCAATGAGCGAGGCTACCATCTGCTAACAAATGCATTCCTTTCCTAGGGTCCTGTTTGTTGTTGAATTATAAAAGATGATCATTTGCTAGTGTACATACGTAAGACTTTGTAAATTAATGAGAACTTTCAAGGCAACTGAACCCTTGCACAATCTTAAGCAACTCACCTGATGTCTCTGGATCTCAGTTTCTTCATTTGTCAGAGAGTATTGGGTAGGGCTGGGAAGGGCTGTTAACTCTGACTACAAGCATCCTATAATCTCAGGGTGCTAAAATATTGAATGAGGCTGGACCCTTACCCACAAGATGGTTGAAAGGTTATCTTCTCCCATTAGAATGTGATCTCCCAGAGGACAGGAGACTGTCTTCTTTGCCTGTATTTGTATCTCTAGGGCTCAGCATAGTGCCGGGCATATAGTAAGTGTTTAATAAATGCTCTATCTACCTATCTATCTAGAGAAAAATAATACACAAATATTTGTGAAATTCACACAAAGTATCTCTTGGAATAAACCTCAGTTCAAATAAGGAAATGATTTCTAGTTAATAGGAAGGGGTATGATATAGTAGAAAGAAAACAGGACTAGGATTCAGGAATAATAATAAGAATTAATAAGAATAAATAGCTAGAATTTATATAGCACTTCAAGGTTTGAAAAGCACTTTGCAAATATTATCTCACAATGACCCTGAGAGACAGGTGGTGCTCTTACCCTCATTTTACAAAGGAGGAAATTGAGGCAAACAAAAGTTAAGTAGCTTACCCAGGGTCATGCTGCCAGTAAGCGTCTAAGGTAGGATTTGAACTCGGGCCTTCCTGAGTCCCATTCTATTTGCTGCATCACCCAGTTCTGCCACTGATACACTAGGTGGCTTTGGGAGTTGAACTTAAGGCTCTCCTTCCCCGCTTCTACCTCCTGGAATCCTTAGCTTTTTAGCTCAAGAGCCAGATTGTAAAGGAGGCCTTTCTAGGTCCCCTTAGCCATTAGCATCTTCCACCCTCAAGTTACCTCGCACCCACTTTATATGTCTGTCATCTGTAACTCTATGTATAAGTTGTCTCCTCCAATCGAATGTAAGCTTCTGGAGGGCAGGCATGCCTAGCATAGTTGCTGTAAAGGCCTTTCCAGAGTTATCATTCCATGGTTTTAAGTATCAATACTGCTGGAATGCCATGGCATTGCAGATATAAGAAGGGCCTTACAGGTTTAGTTCGATAGCCCTAATTTTACAGATGGGGAAACTGAGAACAGAGAAGGAGAGCAACTTGCCCAAGGTCATGAAAGAGCTTGCTAAGAGGTCCTTACCCACAAGACTTAGCCCTGACACAGACAACCAAACCTTGTGTAGCTACCAGAGTTTTGGATTTGCTCGAGAGGCCGACATCTCCACTTTTCCATGAAATCTACGATCAGAACAGCAAAGAAAGAGACAGGACTTACGGGCTCCACGATATTGAACTTCTTGGTCTCCTGAACCTCCTGGATCTGGTACACATAGTCAAGAGATGACTCAAAGAAATTGTGTCTCTCTCTGTCCAACTGTAAGTCAGCCTATAGGAAAGGAAGCATGAAATGGAACGGAGGGTAAGCAAGGCAGTGCTTTGGGAGACTACCCAGAAGGAGAAGGCTGTACTGCCAACGGACCTGGCAGGGATGCCTGCTCAACCAGGAAAACACCAGCAGCTTTCACAGAAAGACCCTAGAAAATTGGAGATCAAAGAGCAAGGCAGATTAGACTGAACGTTCCTGGGAAGCAAGGACCACTGTCTTACTCATCTCTGAAGCCTCCAGCAGCTGGCGTAGTCTAGCATATAATAGATTCTCAGGACTTGGACTACTTCCTGTGCCGTTTGGTCACACCATTCCCTAAGCCTGGAATATCTTCCCTCCCCTTCTTCATATCTATCATATAAATCCCACCTCAAATGCTACCTCTTCCAAAAACCCTGTTCCTCACCCCATCGCCTCAGAACCTTCCCCTTCTGATCTCACTTAACACTTTATCCTATGATCTCTGACACACTAATATGATATTATATATTATAGTGTATGTTATATATAGTATAGTCGCATATAGCATATAGTGCATTACAATGGGTGTTTCATCCCCCTACTAGAATGGAAGCACCATAAAGACAGGGGCCATGTCTTACGTAAACTTCCCAATGCCAACCATATTCTGTATCCAGCAGGTGATTCTTAGTATTTCTTTGTTGACTGAAGCAACGAATAAATCATAAGAGTTCACTAGCCAAGATCTCTGATCAATTTGTTGAGCTCATCAGGGATGGGCCTCTGTATCTCATTGACTGAGGATAAATAAATTGATTGGCTCTGGCTATTTTAGATCAATTGGAGATGAACTGGTTGGCTCTGATTGCCATGGTTCTGAGCCAACTCTTTGTGCTAGCCTAGAAAAAAATGGCATGTGTGGCAGAGTTGGTCCTTTTTGGAGAGGAGGGCCAAGATTGGACCTGGTTCTGGTGGTAGAGGCCTATGGATGAGCAGTCTCTCTCCCCAACCCCCAGCATGGCTAATGGCCAACTTGGGAAAGTTACCTGTGCTTTCATCCAGGAAACTAGGAAGGAGAAATCATGAACACTGGATAGAAGAGGGCTTTTTTCTGGACAATATTGAGTTCTTGGAGAATCTAGAGACTCAGTCTTCTAGAAAGAAGAGGGGAAGTTCCTAAGTTCTAGAACCTAGCCCTCTAGGGAGAAAAAAAGGACACAAAAGACCCAGACTTTTGAGTTATTCAGACACTGTCATCTCAGTGATAAGAGCATTTAACCTTTTTCTTTATTCTTCCCAGAAGAAGTCCAAAGTATTCTAAGTTGCGAGCCCTGTATGTATCACTGGGGAAAAGTGAAATTCACCAGAATGTCAAGGGGTTTCCCCTCTACCAACACCAAATTCACTTTGCTTACAAGGGAAGTCCAAACCACAGAATAGTTTGGAGTCTGGAGGTCTAGGGTCCTGGGAGAAATGCAGAACTCACCAGAGAGGAAGGGGAGTTGTATTTGTATTGTTTGTGTCTAGGGGTGTCCCATGCCCCTCAACCTCAATTAACGTAACAAGGCTGTCTATGCCAGGGGCTAACCTGGGTCAAGGCATAAATTTCAGGGGGTCTATGAATTTGGATGGGAAAAAAATTAAATCTTTATTTTCCCTAACCACTAACTGAAATTTAATGTTTTCCTTTAATTATTTAACAACATTATTCTGAGGTGTCCAAGACCCCAACAAGGTTTAAAACCACTGATCTATGCCCAGAAATCTTCATCAGGTGAGAATATCTTTGTGTTTGAGTTACAGGATCAGTCAGAAGTATAACCTAGAGACAGAACAATTCCTAGACATCTCTACTGAGCCAATCAAAGGCGTAGAGTAGGTACCAATTGAATGAAAGCAGATGATGCCACCCAGGAAATGTCTTGTGGTTGGTTGAAGAGCGAGCATCTGTCAGTCGTCTTGTGGACCATGGCTAAAACAGCAAGCCAGTTCAGAATCTGGCATTTGAACAGCAGTACAGACTAGATGAAGAGGAGTTCCAGGCAAGTAGCTAAAGAGTATCTGTCTCTCTACTCTCTCCCTTCAGAGGGTGACTCTGTAAACTTGAAAGGGTGACCAGATTTGGTCTTCTCATCAGAAGTCACCAGAACAGCAGGGGTCGATGATGGCATCTGCACTGGGAGCCCACACAGACGAGACACACCAAGGGAAAGGCAGCTTTGGGACTATTCCATACCCCGATCCTCAGAGCTCAATAGAGAGCTTCACCTGCCAAAGGGGGAACTCCCCATTCCTGGCGATTGAAAGTCCTCTTTGCCTTTGGCCATCAGTCATCTGCTTTCATTCTGTTCATGCCTAATTTACCCCTTTCACTGACTGATTGGTTCATTAGAGGCATCTAGGAATTGTTCCCACCTTGTTTACACCCTTGATTGACTGATTCTATAACTCAAAGAGGTGTATTCACCTGACAAAGGCATCTGAATGTAGATCAATCTTGTTACATTAATTAGGGTTGAGAGATGTGGTGCAGCTCTCTTACAATTTTTATGGGCTAACAAGTTGGTGTATGTAATTTTATGGTATGGTGATATGTAATGGTATGGAATACCATTGTGCTATAAGTTAAATGATGAGCAGGATGCTCTCAGAAAAACCCAGAAAGACTTACATTAACTGATGCAAAGTGAAATGAGCAGAACCAGGAGAACATTGTATACAGTAATAGCAATATTCTATGATGATCAACTATGAATGACTTAGCTGTTCTCAGCAATACGATGATCCAAGATAATTCTGAAGGACTTACGATGGAAAATGCTTTCCATCTCTAGAGAAAGAACAGATGGAGTCTGAATGCAGATCAAAGTATACTTTTTCTTTACTTTTTCTTTTTCTGTCTGTTTTCCTGCATAACATGACTAACATGGAAATATGTTTTGCAAGACTGCACATGTATAATCTATATCAAATTGCCTGCATTCTCAAGGAGGGGGGTAGGGAAGAGAGGAAGGGAGAGAATTTGGAACTCAAAATTTAAAAACCAATGTTAAAAATTGTTTTTACCTGTAGCTGGGGAGTCTGCCTGCCTGAAGGCTCTCCCCACTCTAATCCATTCTCCATTCAGCTACCAACATTATTTTCCTATGTTGCTCCCCTACTCAATAAACTCCAGTGGCTCCCTATCACCTCCAGGATCAAATACAAAATTCTGCTTAGTGTTCAAAGCTCTCTATAACCTATCCCCACCTACTTTTGCAGTCTCCTTACACCTTACTGCCCACTATGTATCCAATGACAAGGGCCTCCTGGCTGTTCCACAAACAAAATCCTCCATCTCTCAACTCTGGGCATTTTCTCCGGTTGTCCTGCATGCTTGGGATGCTCGTCCTCATCATCTCTACCTCCCGGTTTCCCTGGCTTCCTTTACATCCCATCTTTAACAAGAAGCCTTTCCCAACCCCTCTTAATTCTAGTGTGCCCCCTCTCTTAATTGTTTCCTGTTTATCTTGTTTATAGTTTGATTGCACACACTTATTTGTCATCTCTCCTATGCGATTTATAAGCTCTTCAAGGGCAGGGCCTATCTTTTGTCTCTTTTTGTATCCGTAATGCTTAGCACAGTGGCTGGCACATAGGAGACACTTAATAAATGTTTATTGGCTGACTTACTGGATTTCTGACACATTCACATGTCAAAGTTCACACTGAAAATTTACAGATCAGCTCTCTCCAGCCAGTTTGAGCTGGCTGGAGCCAGCACTCACCTATTTCTCACTTAGTCTCCACTTTTGATTCTCTGGACTTTTCCACAATGCCTCTTCATGTATAACTACCATCACCCCTCCTCAGCTTTCAGTTCCCTTTTGTCTATCATCTTCCCCTTGAACGTAAGCTCCTTGAGGGCAAAGACTTGCTTTCTTTTTGCTTATGTTTATATTCCTAGTGCTGAGCACCGTGCCTAGTACACACTAACTACTTAATACATATTATTTCTCTAGCTTTCTCTGAATCATCTATCATCTATCTATTTCTGTCCATCTGTCTATCTATCTGTCCTTCTATTTATCTCCGCCCATCTGTCTATCTTTCTATCTATTTCTGTCTGTATATCTTGAATAGCTATCTATCCATCTTTCAATCTATCTAATATGGGCTCAAGATTGCCTTTGTCCATAATGGAGCTTTCCAGTGTACCTTTGAGTGCCCATGACAGAGAGGCAAAGGAGCACTTATTGAAGGAAGGCCTAAGACATTAGAACTCTCTGGGAATTGTGCCTGCATGGAAGATTGCAATAGGAGGCAGGGACTTCAAAAAGGGAGGAAGAAGCAAGCTAAGAGGGAGCTGCATGGAGAGGGGAGGCTGGAAAGTCATAGGCCTTCTGTCTCTATCCTTCCTTCACCCCTGTATCACATGACATTCCTTAGCTGCCACGGGCAGAGTGGCAAATGGAAGTAGCCTGATGCTGAGGGATGTGGTCTACTGAGCAAGAGATGCTGTGATAGCAACCAACACCCAAGCATGTTCAGCCTCTGGAACCCGTAAAGGATGAAAGCCCTGTTGATTGCCCGGAACTGAAGGGAATCCAGCCCCAAAGGCTGCAATTGATCTTCATGCCAGCTAGCCACCATCACCACCACCACTTACATTTGTATTCTGCTTTGAGGTCTGAAAAGTGCTTTTCATCTATTCTTTCATTTGATTTCGCCACAGAGAACAAGTTAAAAGGACAAAGAGAAATGACCTCCAGTCTCCTCAACCCATGCCCCATGTGCAGGAAGAGTTGTTTTCACATACCTGAATAAGCATTCCACTGTGAAAATCTCCACCTCCCAACCCGCTGACTCGATCTATGAAGGTATTATTTTCATTTGTGTGCGAGTTGGTGGCAAAGGAAGTCTTTAAAAGGACCCTGCTGCCCATGTATTTTCTAGGGTGAGTTATTATTCTGTTCTTTCTTAATTAAATACCTTATTATTTAATTTGTAGTCTTCGTTTTGATCCGGGAATAGACCATGTTTCACTGGTAGGGGGTCGATATTTGAATAGCTAATTGTCCAAAGCACTCTATACTGAAACTGGGAAAAGCAGAAAGTGTTTTCTGAGCCAAGACTCTCAAGGGGACTTCAGAGAACTCTTATTATATTTTATTATAGGTGCTTGTCCAGCATGTTTATGGACTGATTCAAGCTTCTTCCAACTCGAGGCAATCATTTGGCAACAGCTTTTCCCCACCAGTGCGAACCTTCTTCCCAGGCCAGGAGTGGTCTAACCATTGTACCATTGTGTGGCCAAGTGTCATTGAAATTTTTGTTTGGTGTTAAAAGTGTATTGTGTAATTGTGAGCACTGATGCAACATACTTGAAATGGCATTCAACACTGCATATGTGTGTTGGGATGAATGCCCTGTGGCTATTCACATATTGGAGAACTGGCATGAATAGTCAATGGTCTCTAGTTATTGGAGAACTGGAGCTCCCTGGGGCCTGTTGGTTTGTGGGTACCTACTAATGAGGAGGAGGAGGAGAAGGAGAATGACATCAGAAGGTCTTGACACCACGCTCTAGACACTTGGGGAGATGTCAAGACCAGGAAGGAAGACCAAGTTGGAGCTGTAGCGATGGGAGCCAGCTCAAACAGTGAGGCACTTCATGATCCCCAAAGAGAACCAGATGACTAGTTCTTAAGTCCCCTACTGCAGACCAGGAGCTGGCGAATGAATTTAAAGGCTGCATGATGAGAGAGAACACTGGCTAAAGATGAAGACTATGTCCGAATTCTGCTTTGAGTATTTGCAGATGAACAGTTTGGTGGCATACAGAATACAGAGAAGGGCTATGGCAAATCCCTTGATGCCCTCCAGTAGAAGAGACAAAAGGACTCCAACTCTGGATTAGAGTTGGGCAGACTTCGGCAAAGGCTCCAAAACAAAGGAACAGCACCCGAGGAGTAGATGGACATCGTGACATTGACTCACATGACCAGGGAAACCCAGAAGAGAAACCCAATGATTACACCTAACTGGGCTACTCCTAATTGCCACAGCCACATGTTTTGTTTTGGGTTTTGAGTGTTAAATAGCATTTTATTTTTTTCCAATTACACGTAAAGATAATTTTCAACATTCATTTTTTATAAGATTTTGAGTTACAAATTGTTCTCCCTCCCCCAACCCCTAGATGGTAAGTAATCTGATATAGGTTATACATGTGCAATCATGTTAAACATATTTCCACATTAGTCATGTTGTGAGAGAGAAAACAGAACAAAAGGGGAAAACCACAAAAAAACAAAAAACAAAAAAATGGAAATAGTATGCTTCGATCTGCATTTAGACTCCATAGTTCTTTCTCTGGATGTGGATAACATTTTCCATCATGAGTCTTTTGGAATTGTCTTAGATCATTGCACTGCTCAGAAGACCTAAGTCTATCAAAGTTGGTCATCTCATAATGTTACTGTTACCGTGTACAATGTTCTCCTGGTTCTGCTCACTTTGTATCAGTTCATATAAGTATTTCCAGGTTTTTTCTGTAATCTGTGCTCTGGTCACTTGTACCCAGCCAGTAGAGCTGACTTTCCTGAAACTCTGAGAGTGCTGAGACACTGGGTGCCCACTGGAGCTGATTAGTGTATGTTTCCATGTGTCTTTTCTGTGCTTCTATCTGTAAATCAGTCCAAGGCTGCAAAAAGATTTAAGGAGGGTGGAACTGTGTTTCTGTTCCTAGAGATGTAAAACAAGAATAACTCATGACCTACATTTGGGGTGAGCTTGCAATCCCCTAGGAAAGTTGCGGGTATCAGGGAGATGATGGACACCATAGCCCTAGTACGTCCAAATCCAGCAAATGCCTCTGGAATATCAGTGTTAATTGAGACTAGATCAGTCTATGCTAAGTCCCAGCAGAGGACTGCCCCCTATGAGATGAGTTCAATACCTGCATGGCCTAAAAATTCATGGCTGCTCTATGGAAATTTGGAGAAAGTGGCACTGAAGGCAAGAGCACTGCCATAGTCCCCAACACCAGCTCAAGGGTAAATCCAGATGTCTGGAAGGGACAGGATGAATGACCTTCAGGGCTCCCTTCTAGCTTTAGATCCTATGGGTGATCTTAGGCAAGTCACTCCTCTTCCTTGGACCTCAGTTTCCTCACCTGTAAAATGAAATAGTTGGACTAGATGGGCCTCTGAGGGCTCTTACAGCTCTAGAGCTGGGGTCCTATGACCTAAAGTTTGACTTTAGGGACTCTTCAGTGCCTGAAGAGCAGAGGGCTCATCTAAGGATAAAAAGTTCAGGTTTTGGGACAGTTAGGTGGTGCAGTGGATAGAGCACCGGCCCTGAAGTCAGGAGGACCTGAGTTCAAATCTGGCCTAAGACCAAACACTTGACACTTACTAGCTGTGTGACCCTGGGCAAGTCACTTAACCCCAATTGCCTAAAAAAAAAAAAAAAAAAGGAAAAGAAAAAAAATATAATGGAAAAAAAAGGTTCAGGTTTCTTCTTGCATGAGTGGGATCTGTTTCCATGGAATGGCGTGCACAGTCCCCTGGTCCTCTCTAAGGCAAGGGACCTTGGGAACTACCTGAAGGAACTATCAGGCAGGGGCGCTATCATGGCACACCACAACTCCTCTAGCTCACCTACAATGGTGCTACAAAAGATTATGCTATACATGTGGCCCATAAGGCCTTGAAAAAGATTCCTATAGTGCAGAAGCATACCAAATCCTGGGCTCAAGAAGTACCATCCTTGCTGCTCCACAGCCAGTGGGTTCAGTGCTGGACCTCCATTGCTGATGGAGCAGATTTTCATGGCACGGGGAAGACATGGAAAGGAGAGCCTTGGTCTGTCCAAGCTGATGCTAACAGTTTGAATGTATGTCCCAAGGGTACAATTAAGAGTTAGACTGGGAGGGCTATAATTGATTGGAACCTGGGGAAAATAACCAGGGAGACCCAGAACAGGAGTCGTTACAGTGACTTCTGGGAAACAAAGAAAGGAGGCAGCTCTGAAGAAGACAAGACACCCCAGTGTGTAAGATGTAAGTTCAAGTCCCCTACGTGATCCGAGCAGATCATTTCATCTTTCTGGGCCTCAGTTTCCTCATCTGCAAAATGAGAGGATTGAACTAACGGCTCTTCCTTCCAGTACTGGCATTCTCTGAGGCAGCTGGTGGTGCAATGGATAGATCAACTAGACCTGGAGTAAGAAAGTTGCTGTTGTTCAATCGTGTCTGACTCTCTGTGACCCCATTTGGGGTTTTCGGGGCAGAGCTGCTAGAGTGGTTTGCCATTTCCTTCTCCAGCTTGTTTTACAGATGAGGAAACTGAGGCAAACAGGGTGAAGTGACTTGCCCAGGGTCACACAGCTAGTAAGTGTCTGAGACCGGATTTGAACTCAGGTCTTCCTGACTCCAGGTCACGCACTCCATCTACTGCAATGCCACCGAGCTGCCCAAGAGTTCAAATCTAGCCTTGGGCACTTAATAGATGGGTGACCCTGGGCTTAACTGCTGTCTGCCTCAATTTCCTCAACTGTAAAATATGGATAAGAATAGCACCTATCTACTTCTCAAGTTGTTGTGAGGATCAAATGAGATCATATTTTTAAAGCTCTTAGTACATTGCCTGGGTACACTGTAGGTGCTTAATAAATGCTTGTTTCCTTCTTCCTCTCCCTTCTGCTCTCCTTTCCTTCCTTCCTTCCTTCCTTCCTCTCTTCCTTCCTTCCATTCCAAGGTCCTTCTCAACTCTGATAACCCAAGCTCTTAGGCCCTTCCCAGCTCTCACATTCCACAACTGAATGTACTATGATACCCCACCATCATTTCCACACTGGTTCTAATCACAAAATTTTACAAACCAACAAGAACCACGGCATTCTCAAATGAGGCCATGTGGTGGCCGGGAAGGCGAGAGAGAGAGAGAGAGAGAGAGAGAGAGAGAGAGAGAGAGAGAGAGAGAGAGAATACAAGATGACTGAAAAAAGCACAGGCCAGCTCCCAGGCCACGAATCTCTAGCCATGCTACTTCCACCCAGGCATGTACCCCTACCTCAGACAGGTGCAGCCTGGAACACTACCAAATTCCAAGGTGGAGCCAGAGGGAAGGGCCTGCATTCCACACATACCTCCTGGAGCTGGGATTCTTTCTTCTTGGAAGACAGATGCAAGTGGCGATCCAGCAAAGAATAAAATCGCTCACTGTCCTTCTCAAATTTTTTCTTCCGTTCCTGGAGGCAGAAAAGATGGGAGGCACAGAATCAGCCCAAGAAGGGGGAACTTTCTATACCCAACATTTAATAGGCATGGATAGCTTAAATTTACATAATAACCACCACAAGAGATTTAGAGTTTACAAAGCAACTCATCCATTAACTCATTAGAGATTCAAAACAACCCTGGGAGGCAGGTGCCTTTATTTTCCCCATTTTACAAGTGAGGAAACTGAGGCTGAGAGAGGTTAAATGACTTGCCTAGGATCACACAGCTGGTAAATGTCTAAGGCAAGACTGAAATCCAAGTCTTTCAGATTCCAAACCCAGTAATCTACCCAATCAGTTAACAGAAAAGCATTTATTAAGTGCCTACTATGGGTCAGGCACTTTGCTAAGTGCTGGGGATACAATGGAAGGTAAAAGACAGCCCCCGCCCTCGAGGAGCTTACCCTCTGAAAAAGAGTCCAAAGCAAGCATCCCCTCCATCTAACTAAGGTTTCATTTTTTTTTTCCAAACTTGACCTTGAATGGTACAGCCCCACAGAGGACACCCTCTTGAATAGCACTGGGGATTACACAACATAGGTCAGAGAAGGGGCTCTAGGTTTGTTTAGTTTTATTGGAGATTTAACCCTGGTTACCTGTACCTCCATCTTACAACCACCACTCTGTGCCTCGGATTGGCCTTGCTCACAGAGCCAAAGGACCAGAGGGGATGTGACCCGGTACCTCTGGAACACTAGAGGTCTCAAGGTCATTTCACCAAAGTGGAAGGGTGTCAGACCCACCATCACTGAGTGAGCTTTGGTGAGAAGCACTTGGAAGTGTCTGCCATTAACAGGACCCACTGGAACTTCTGTCTACACTAGGGACTTCTACTGTATCTGTGGGTCCACTGGAGCTTCTGTCTACATTAGGGACTTCTGTATCTGTGGACCCACTGGAGCTTCTGTCTACACTAGGGTTTTTACTGTATCCATGTCCTGCTCTGTCAAAAGGGGGCTGACAGACAGTCAGAGCTCCCGAGTCTTTCATCTAATGACTATTTAGATACCTTGAGTCAAATCTCACTTGGGAATAATGCTAGATTTCTTCCCCACTTTTGCCCACTTGCAGAAGGAGTGGTAATAAGAAAGTACAAAAAAAAAAAAAAAAAACTGTCTTTCCTGGAACTTCTAGGTTCAAAGCATGCCAATATACTGTGTGGGGGTGGCCCTGGTCTAGGAGAAGCTGTGGGTGCACAGCCACGTGATATATTTTTATTATGTATTATTTATTCCTTTTATTGAGTCTATAGAAATGAGTAAACGGTATCCAAGCATGACTGTGTATTCATATGGGCAGCTGGCTTCATTATGTTAAGGTCACATGATTAGAGCTCAGTGAGCTAGCAGATTCAGAGAAGCAATGGGGTTTCCAGTAGGTGGGAGGCCAAAGCTATTCTGTTTGGCATAATCCACACTAACTATGCTCGTTGAAATAAAACAACGAGTGCATAAAGTCAAGGAAAGAAAAGTGTGCCCATCATAGAGAGCTTTGCACATTCCCCCCTTCCCCCCCAATTCTCCTCAGCAGGGTAGAGTACAGAACCAATAGGAAGGAAATGAGCCTTGGCCAGAGGCCTGAGCCTTTTTCAATAGGACCAGTAGAGTGGCTAACAGCGCCACCTGGTGGTCAGATAAATGAAAACCAATAAAACAGCTAGTGTTGAGGAAAGAGCCCTGGATTGGGAGACAAAGGCTCTGGGTTCAAATTCTAATTTTATTACTTAGCACCTGTACAACCCTGGGCAAGTTGTTTTATCCTTCCAGGGTGTCGGTTTCCTCACCTGTAAAATGGAGGGGTTTGGACTAGATGACCACTGACGTCTCTCCTAGCTCTAAATGTAAGATCCTATGGGTGAGTGACCTTGGGCAAATTGTGACATCTCCCTGGGTCCTTAGTTTCTTCATCAGCAAAATGAAGGGGGTGGACTAGATGGTCTCTGGAATCTCTTTTAGATCTAGGTCTATGGTCCTAAATCTATGTGTAACTATGAGCAAGTCACTTAATCTCTCTGGGCTTCAGTTTCCACATCTGTAAAATGTTGGGGCATGGGGAGCAGGGGAGAGAACAGGATGTAAACTAGATGGCCTCTAAGTTCCCTTTCAGCTGTAAATCTATGATGCTATGACTAAATGATCTCCAAGGTCCCTTTAAGCTCTAAATCCTATGATTCTTGAGTAAATTAACAGTCTGACATTGAAGGATTTGTCTAGAATTTCTTTGGACGGTCTATTAATAAGGAAAATGTTCCTGAGGCAATAGGAAACTAACTCCCAGATGGATTCATTCTTTAATATTTGCTAAGCAGGTCACTGAATAGGACTTAGAGGGAGAGGGGACTTCTTAAAAGTGAGGAAACTGACATGTAGAGAATGGGAGTGACTCACCCAGGGTCATACAGCTATCTGAGCCTCAGAGCCAAGACTAGAATCCAAGTCTGTGACTTGAACCTCACTACTTTTTTCCACTGACCCATGAAGAAGTGTACAGCTGTAACACACCCACATGTAGAGGTAGGGGGCCAGTCTGTGGGTATCCCCAATCCTCCCAGTCACAGCCCTTCCTGTAGGAACATAGGACCCACACCCCAATACAGCTTCAGGGCTGGCCCTACCTTGCACTGCCAGCATCCCCCCCCCCCTCAGCTCCCACACTCCCCCAGCCATACACAGCTCAGCCTTCCATGAGGTCAGGCCTTGAGGGAAGACTTTAAACAATTCTAATCACTTGCTTCCCTCCACAGACCTCTGCCTGGCCACTTCTACTCTGCCTGGAATCATTCCTCACTGGCCAGCATACACTCCCCCCCACCCAATAGTCTTCCAATCCCAGGGATGCTGAACCTCTGGTTGCCAAAGAACAAATCCCTTTCCTTGAGCCCAGCTGTCCCCTCTCCCATGTGCTCATCCACCTCATCCCACTCTGCTTATGTCCTGACCCAGATCTGCCCGCCAGCATTGCTTCCCTGGCCAGTACTGACTCACTGCTCCAGCTGGGGAGTTGGAATGCCACTTCCAGGCCCTCCTCCCACCATCCCTCAACAATTTCTCCTCCTCTGAGGGTCACATTATCCAAATTTATCACCCGTTCTAGATCATGGTGGCCGTTATCTATCAGTTCCCAGGACACTTTCCCTCCTTCTTCACTGAGTTTAGTGGTTGGCTCACAGTCTTCCTTCCTCGCTACCCCAACTGCTACCCTCTTAGTAGCAGACTTCAACATATATATTATATTATATGAGGCAGCTCATGCACCATGGAGAGAGCATGTGACTTGGGAGCCAGGAAGACCGGAGTTCAGATCCAATCTCAGACACTTACAAGTTGTGTGATCGTGGACAAGTCACTTCATCTCACTCAGCCTCAGTTTCCTCATCTGTAAAATGGGGATAATAAGAGTGTGAGGGACTGTCTGATGTTGGCAGCTGCCAGGTTGGGTGCTGTGGCATGGGTAAGGTAAGATCTGGGTATTTTGGAAGTCGAGGCAGGGACTGTGGTAGGCAGAGTCATGTGTACTGGGATGGGCTGGATACGGAGAAGCCATGAGGCAATTGGGCAGTGCTATGAGATAAGCTGGGTGCAAGGAAGTAGCCGAGCCTGAGCTCCTGAGGCAAGGGGCGGTGCCACGTGGGAGTGGGATGGCAGAGGACTGAGTTCCCTCTGCTTAGTCCCCTCCCTATATGCAACGTCATCCCCAGATGCCTCTTGTGACCTTCCTGACTTTGTGCAGCACTGACCCAGTACCCTCCTGAGTCTGACTTCCTAGGTCACGTACTCTTGTCTATGCGTCAATCCCAGATGCCTCCTTCCTGTATCCAATCCTAGCCTCCTACGTCACTCCCTCCCCCCTTGGTGTGCTAAACTCAGACAGCCCCTTCCGGTATCTGACCCTACAATCATTGGCTAGTAGCGGGCTGGGGAGGAGGGGCTAAGTAGGTACTTAGGAACAAGCGTGGTCAGATCACACACGTGCGCTCCCCTGGCTCCTGCCCTGTTGCTCTGGCCTTGCTGTTTGGGCTTGCTATGATGGTTTGCTGTGTTGGCCTCTGAATAAAGCTCTGGTGTTGGTGCCTCCCGATGGCTTGTCTCTGTGTGGTGATCCGGCTCAGAACCAAAGACCCAGGCGTGGGTAAGACTCTGGTGGTGCACTTCTTCTAAGAGAAGTGGGTACTGGCGCATGACTGGCAGAGGGTCGGCGTGCAGCCCATATATAAGAGCATCTACCTCACAGGGTTACGAGGATCAAATGAGTTAACACATGAAAAGCATTTTGCAAATCATAATGTATTACATAAACGAAAGCTATCATTATTATTATTATATTGATGTTCCCTCAAATACCTTATTCCCCATTTCTCATTCTACCCAATTCCCATAGCCTATTCCTCCTCCAGCTCACCTCAACTAACAGAGATAACCCTCTCCCCTCACATCTTGCCATTACCCACAAGTATTCCACCCCCATGTTCATGAACTCACAAATTCCTTTATCTGAACATAATCTTATATCATTCCAACTTCCCCTCTGCCTCAAAAACTCCAACCTTATTCTTTGTCCGCATCAGGACTTCCAGCCTTCAGTTCTTTTTCCTGCTCTAAGCATATCCTCCTCCCTTCCCGATCTCAACCCCTCAGTGAACCTCACCCACTGCACTCTCTCCCCTAGTCTTGAGTCCCTTGACCCCTTGTTCAATTACCAATCAGGCTTTACCAAATCCCAGTCCTAGATCACTCTCATCACCTTCCTTCTTTGCTACTATTCACATGCTGCTGAGGAGAGCTAGGAGAAGTCATAAACCCATCCTGTCTAGGTCTACTAAAAATTTATATGATCTAACCTCAACTGGGTAGTCACTGCAGTAAGGCAGTCTTTCTACTCCTGCCCTAATTGAGTCTATATTTCAGTCACCACAGTGGCTGCTCCCAACCTCATCTCTCTCTAAGCCTCCCATGGCACTCTGTCTGCTTACT